AAAGAGCACTGGAATTGGAGACTGAAGGCTGTAGTTTAAGCCCTGGTTTTGTTTTTTTTTGCAGTCTTTGTTTCCTCATCTGTAATAGATAATACTTGCCTCTTGGGGGTATTTGTGAGGATCACATGGCATGTTGGTAACCTTTAAAATCTTAAACAAAGAAAGTGGTACCATAATATTATTATTTTGTAGTAGTAGAAGCCATAGACTTATTCTGTAGCTTTGGAAAGAATTTATTCAGTGATGTGTGTATTTTTTCTAATGCTTATATTTTGTTATTGATGCTATTATAATTTTAATCTCATTAAGGGTCTTGGTGGCCCTTAGCTGCTTTTCTGTAGTTGGCTTCTTGTCTCATTGTCTAACTTAATTTAGGAATTAAGGAGCAGAACCTCTAGAATCAGACTTTCCTAGCTTGAAATTTCAGTGCTTTTTCTGTCAGTTTCTACCTGTGTAACTTGGGCTACATATTTATCTTTAGTGGTGATAATAATTGTACCTCCTTATAGGATTGTGACAAGGATTAAATGAGGTGATGAATGTGAAGCTCTTATCAGAGTCTCGCTTTAACTGAATATTGACACCTTATTAAAGCCCCTATTCCCTCCTTTCATGATGAACAGATGAACTTGCATCTTGCTTTTCAGAGGAAATAGGAAATAGAGGCCATTCTTATGTGAACCCTATCCACTTCTCTTTTCTCTCAAGAATTTGTTCACTACCTGTTTTTACTCCTTAACGAGAGTAATTCTACCTGTCATTTTGTTCAATTCTGAGTCTTCAGTCTTTCCTCTCCACTTGGATCTTTTCTCTCATCTTTGAACCATTCCAGCTGAAGAGCCTCAGCCCTTTCTCAGTTTTTAAGTTGCTGATTTTAAAAAAAGGTTGGAAGAGTGGCCTTGTACTTCAGTGTCTCTATTGACTCCTTGAAAGAAAAAAATCAATAACTCCCTTATAATGTCTGCTTTTTGGGAGAAATTTGACCTGTTGACCATCCTCAGCTTCTTTGACATCATTATCTTCTTGGTTCTCCTCCTTTGACTAATTGTTCTTGGTCACTTTGTTATTTCCTTTTCCTTCTGACTTCCTTTTAAATATGGCTGGGTGCTCCTCAGTGTTACTGTCTCAGTTTTTTTTTTCTTCTTCTTCTTCTTCTTAGCTTCCTGTCTAATCTTGTACCCTCCCAGGACTATAGTTGTCACAGAACAATAATGGTCTCCTCATCTAGATCTCTGGTGGCATAGTGCCTAAGGCAGTTGACTGCTAACCAGAGGGCTAGCAGTTCAAATCCACCAGCCACTCCTTGGAAGCAAGACTGGGCAATCTGCTTCCGTAGTGATACCACCTCGGAAACTCAAGGAGGGATCACTGTGAGTCTGTGAGTCGGATTTGACTCGATGGCAGTGAGGTTTTTTTTTTTTTTTTCCCCTCTAGGTCTCAGTAGCTCCCTTCTCTCCTCAATTCCAGATGGACATATATACTAAAATGTCCCATAGGTATCTCAGTCTCTACATCTCAAAAAACAAATTTATTATCTAAACACCCCCTCCCCAACTGTTTCT